TTCAGAGATGGGACCGGTTCGGTTTTTAACCGAACCGAACCGACCGACCGTAACCGAAATCGGTTCGGTTGGAGATTTTTAGAGAATTCGGTCGGTTACGTTCGGTTCGGTTAGAGACTTTTTCGGTTACGGTCGGTTCGGTTAAAAATTTTAAAAAATTCGGTCGGTTATGTTCGGTTCGGTTAGAAAGAATCAACATAATCGTTTCATTTGAGTTCAATGGACTTTTTCAGTGAAACATAAGAAGAAAAAAGAATATAATCGTACAACAACTAGCTGTTGCTCGCAACGCGGATTATCTCACATATTTTTAAAATTTGCCCTGAGAGGTAAGGAAGTTATAATACAGTAAGAAGATCCAATAAATAATCTTTATTCTTTGCTTTCTCTAAGTGTTCATTATTTTTAGTTGCTATTATTTGATTTGTTGTTGCTAATTTATAAAGCACTAATACCCTAACTAAAATAAGCTAAACTTCGCTTTCTCTAAACTCGGTTCGATTACGAAATTTTTGAAATTCGGTCGGTTACGGTCGGTTCGGTTAGAAATTTTTAAATATTCGGTCGGTTACATTCGGTTCGGTTAGAGATTTTTTCGGTTACGGTCGGTTCGGTTAGAAATTTTAAAAAATTCGGTCGGTTAAGTTCGGTTCGGTTAGAGATTTTTTCGGTTACGGTCGGTTCGGTTTGGCAAAAATGCCAACCGATCCCACCTCTGAAACACTTCAACACTCCTTTCAGATCGTGTTTCACAAAATGACCGTTTGTGCCATAGTTACATGCTCAATTGTACCATAGTTACCTAGTTAATTTTAGTAGAAAAATGGCCGTTTGTGCCAAAAACATGGTCACTTGCGCCAAAAAAATGGCCATTTGTCCCAAAAAAATGGTCATTTGTGCCATAAAAATGGTCGTTTGTGCCACAGAAATGGTCACTTGTGCCATAAAAATGGTCATTTGTGTCATAGAAATGGCCGTTTGTGCCATAAGAATGGTCATTTGTGCCATAGAAATGGCCATTTGTGCCACAGAAATGGTCACTTGTGCCATAACTGACCATTTCTGTGCCATAGAAATGGCCATTTGTGCGATAGAAATGGCCGTTTGTGCCATAAAAATGGTCACGTGTGCCATAGAAATGGTCATTTGTGCCATAAAAATGGTCATCTGTGCTATAGAAATGGCCATTTGTGCCATAAAAATGGTCATTTGTGCCACAGAGATGGTCACTTGTGCCATAGAAATGGTCATTTGTGCCATAAAAATGGTCATCTGTGCTATAGAAATGGCCATTTGTGCCATAAAAATGGTCATTTGTGCCACAGAAATGGTCACTTGTGTCATAAAAATGGTCATTTGTGTCATAGAAATGGTCATTTGTGCCACAGAAATGGCCGTTTGTACGATAATAATGGTCATTTGTGCCATAGAAATGGCCATTTGTGCCATAAAAATGGTCATTTGTGCCAAGTTCTTGTTACAGACAAACAGACAGACGGACATACAGACACACGTGAATTACGGTTTCTAGACCCTAGCCTTTCAGTCTAGGGAATATCTATGTGAAACTCTTCTAATCTTATTAATTGGTACAAAAACTATTGATTTGTAAAAAGATAAAACACCATTTTTACCATATTGATAGAAGCCCAGCTTGGTTAAGTTAGCATCTGCTTCATGCATAAGTAAGAATTTATTTCCAGTAGCTAATTCTTTGTGTAAACCAGCACCAGTTATATCATAAATAACGGACTTTTTTCCGTCTTCAACATAAACTTCAGGAAAAAGATTCTCACATGTTTTGTAACAAGATTGAACAATATTTATGAGGCCCCTTTTATCCGAACCTAAGCCAATTGTAGAATCAGCTTTTGTACTTCACTTCCATTAAAGATATTTTATTTATATAAAAAATCAATCAAATAAACGTTATTCTTTTAGCAGTAGCTCTTCTTATTATAGCGATATGCATTTTCTAATTATGGCCACAGTTGTACTCATATGCTAGATGTCGATAGATCCTTATGCTACCGAAAGTACTAATATTATCTATTATAATATGTGAAGCAGTAATGGCACATAAACGGTATATGATGAAATTCCAGTTGAATCTTGAACTTATGAATACTAATTCGTCATGTTATCAGATTCATAAATACAGAATGACGTCTTCTAATTGGAATCAACCATCTGCAATCCATTGTACAGTTAATACACACATGAATTTTCTGTCCATTGTCGATTACACGTGAATCTAACGAATAACCGAATAACATAGTATATATATACAGGGTGTAAAAAAACCATTACGCCCCCCCTTCCAGACCTAAAGACCAAATAGTACCCCCAACAATTTTATACCAAATGAAAGCCCGCAAAAAGTTACGTCTAGTGGTATAGTCAGAACAAATATAGTTTGTAATATTATAACGATTCTAGGCTCAATACATCATTTTCACTTATGTATCACAGTCTCATATCAATTGAAATGATACAAGTTATCTTTCTTCACTTTCGAATTACGTATTAATAGATCGTAGTTTTCATCGCTCCAAGTTTTTATTAAATGTACGATATCGTAGACCAATATGTCACGTATTTTGCCAAATTTTCGTTTTCTAATGTTATATTTGAGTATCACAAAGCACGTGAGCGAGTTGAGTAATGTTTAGTGTGAATTATCAAAAGCCTTACTATTGATGACTGATAACGAGAAGAAGGAACAGAAAAAAAGAAAGTTATGTGCACATTTATGCACGAACAGATAAGAAGAGAATACAGAAAAGAAAATGGTCGAGTGTCGAAATATTTTCAACTTTTTTCATTGATTTTCTTTCTGAGTATCTGTTGTCCGCGCAAGTAATTTTTATTCACGTTAGACGTTGAACAATTTGCTGATTAGTTAATAAAAAATTCTATGGTACATTAATTGAAAAACCAAAATGGCTAATCTGCTTCATGATTCGGAAGAGCAACGATTCGTTGACAGAATTCAATGTGTCACATATCGTGAAATACGTGACGAACTGATTGCAAGAACAGGAGACTCAATTATTACTCGCCCTTGGATTTCCGAGAAGCTACGTCGCAGTGAAGATTGGGTACGACGAAATTGGAATAAATCTATCGAAGAATGTTATACACAATTTGGCAGTGGTCGACCCCAGGTGCTTAATCAGGAGAGCAGAAACATTATCTCTTCTGCAAGTGGTGTCAAAAGCAGTAGCTGTCGAAAAGTTGCAAGAGAGATTTTAGAGAAAACAAAACAGCGGGTGAGTCACATGACTATTTACAATGAACGCCATCGGCAAGGATTAAAAGCTTTCCATGTGATTGCCAAGCCACTGAAGACAAATACACATACCGAAGATCGCAAGTGGCTAGCAAATTTTCTTACTGATTGGACTGAAGAAGATTTTCTACATGTTGCACCTTCGGATGAATTTTACATTTATGTTGTAAGAAAACCAAACCATCAAAATGATCGAATTTGGGCAAGAAGTATTGAAGACATAAGTGATGATGAAAGATACCGAGAGATGGTTTACAATGCAACATGTATTGGGGTTTTCGTCATGTTTACTGCAAAAAAACTACTTTGGGTGCCAAAAGAACATGGACAGTCTTGGGATGGCGCTTATTTTCGTGACACTATCCTTCGACAACAGGTGATCCCATTTCTTCGTGATTCGTCCAATGTTCTCGATACGAACGAAGTGATATTTCTTCACGACAAGGCACCTTGTATGAAAGCGAATGCAACACAACATCTTTTAGAAGATGAGAATGTGAATTTCTGGGGAAATTCAATTTGGCCAGGCAATAGTCCTGACATGAATCCTGCAGAAAATATTGGTGCAATTATTAAAGATAAAGTTGAGGAACTAATGGCAAATGAAGATCGTCGTAGCAGATACAATTACGATGCACTGAAAACGAATTTGGAGAATACGCTCAAAGATCTTGAAAATGATACAGTTCTTTTTATTGACTTGTTATGCTCGATGCGAAAAAGATTTGATGCTCTCAAGGCTGCTGATGGGGGTCATACGAAGTTCTGAAACTTTCGAAAAAGCATTTTTTAGTATTCAATATTATCAATAAACTGAATAATTAATGATTCACAACTTAAGTTACTGTTGAGCACAACGGCTTTTGACGTACTCGAGATTGTGATATATAAGTGAAAATGATGTATTGAGCCTGGAATCGTTATAATATTACAAACTATATTTGTTCTGACTATACCACTAGACGTAACTTTTTGCGGGCTTTCATTTGGTACAAAATTGTTGGGGGTACTATTTGGTCTTTAGGTCTGGAAGGGGGGGGGGGCGTAATGGTTTTTTTACACCCTGTAAATTAGGGGTGGCATTTCTCATTTTTTAAATGGGTTTACAAAAGTCAAAATGGGGTACATTTGGGGTACATTCCAATTTAAAAAGGGGTACATCAATGGGATACATGATTCTACTCCTGAAGTAAAGTATTTAATTGAGAAACCTGCTGAAACGACACAGCTTTTGTACAGAACAGAATCATATTTCACTGTTGTTTTTCAATTAGATAGGCTTAACTGTTTACACTGTTTCAATTAGCTCTGTGTTAATTGATTGTTGAGTTTGAAATTGGAAAATAACATTAGGAACCATCTATAAAAGACGTAAAGCGGACTGAGGCCATCAGTGAAATGCGAAATACGAAGAATCATCGTGAATTTTTCAATTTTTCTGCATCGATTTCCATGGCGCTTTCATGCTT